CATCTATACTATACTGATGTGTACAGTATCACACATTCTGAAGTCTGCTTGCTTAAACATTCTCTTAACTACTGTTACTTGTTCATTCATACTTCACATACTCACTTCCAAAAAGGAACAGCCCTGATTACAAACCGAAAGGGAAGCAAATGTGCTCCATTCTGGGAGGGGATGGTGGCCACAGAGAGCTAATAGGCCTGGGGGGCTAGGAATAGCCCAGCCAGTATGAACAGGGGACTTCCAGAGACACTGTGGGTGAGCAGTGTGGAATGGAGAACTGCCCTTCTTCCTCTGGGCCCTGGCTAAGGAAGACCTGGACACTCTACGGATCCCTGGCAGGATCAGACCTCGCAGATAGCAGGCTGCTCACCTTTGCACTGCATGTCCTTAGCTAGAAAAAAGTGAGTATCTACTAAAAATAAAGCCTCTTTTGGTACACACTGTTTACCCCTCTTCCAGAGATGACTAACAGGAAGCCATCTCTGCCACACAGGAAGCACCTTGACAGGCAGAACTGTATTTTCCTTTTCCTACATGTGCAATTGCAGTTCACAATTATGTCACCTGAAGGAGGGGTGCTACTCCCACTTTCTGACTGCATTTTCTGGAAGAATGCACCAAGGAAAACAAGGTGTGTTGGAACCTGTGAGAGATCCCGACACTTATCCCTGGTCGTACCAGAAACGCATCCTCCCTCTCGCCTGTTCTCTCAGAACAAGACTGGGGAACGAAGGACCAAGAACCCAGGACACAGAACAGCACATCGGCTGCTCTGAGTGTACACAAGCAGTGGCTGAGGAATACAGAGCACAGCCCTAACAGACCTTTGCAGGGAAAGAACTTCATGGAGCCATGCAAAGCTGGTGCTAAATTATGTTTTACAATTCACCACTCCAGGCCTTACCAAAAGATTTTTAGAATGTGCCAAACCAGAAGTCAAACTGCAGCCATGTAACCAGAGTTTCCTGTTTGGCTTGCCACACAAGGCTGCCAGGAAACTTAGCAATTAGAACGCCTCTGTATTAGGCATCACATATTATCAGCTATGGGGCAGGCTGTTTTCTTCACCTTGCCCACACGTTTCTTGTGGGTAAAAAGCTGAAAACAAGTTTGTCGCTACTGCTTCCTATAGACAACTCCCTGATTAGCACTTAAGGGACACACTAAAAACCCAAATCTACACAGTTATTACGAGGCAACACAAAGCACAGCCACTCATAGAAGCTTCCAGGGGACTTTGGATTAACACGGCACCCACTGCAATGGCACATGGGGTGCACTGAACTGCACACTGACCTACAGGACAGAATAGGGAACACACGTGACAACATGTAATATGATACCTGCTATAGTGCGGTATCAAAAAGGGATCCACCAAGACTGGGGAGATGGCCCGGTGAGTAAGAGCCTTTCTGTACAAGCGCGAGGACCTGAACTGATTCCCAGAATTCTCGTAAACGCCACACAGAGTTACACATCTGTTAACTCCAGTGGGGGTAGTCAACAAAGAGACAGGATTGCTTGGGCTTGTTCTCCTGCCAGCCTAGGCAAAACCCATGAACTCCACGTTCAGTGAGAGATCCGTTCTCAAGGGGATAAAGCAAAGGGAAGAGAGGAGGGCACAAATCAGTACACACACAACACACACACGTACATACAATTTAAAAACCACAGAACACCAAAACACATTTACCATATGTTTCCCCTAAGTTGCCAGACTGTGTGGCCACTCCGTGATGAAAGCTTGAAGGTTTCTGAAGTGGAACTGTCCTTTCCATCCATCGTCCTTCTTTTGAATCCACTTTTGCTATCAACATCACAAGCCACAGCTGTCACTGAGCAAAGACGGACCGCCCTGGTCCTATCAGAGATGAGCAGGAAATCCTGCCTGGAAACCATCTGATGACAGCTATAAAAAGCCTATGGATGGACACATCCTTCCCCCAAAATCTATTTTCAGAAATTTGCATGGGGCGAGCAAGTGAAGAACCGCACGCTGACAAGGTCAAGCACACTCACGGCAGTGCCCTAAGATAAAAGGATGACAGGGAGCCTGCGCAGACAGTTAACAGCACTAAAGAAATGGAAGAGGCCTTAGACATTATCCTAGGAAATGATTTCACTGTGAAGAAGAGAAAGCAGACACTCAGAGATTAAGGACTTACGTAAACAAAGCTTCACACCTAGTTAGTGGCTCAATGCCATTTAGAAATCAAGTTGCCAAAAAAGAAAACGGTTATCAGCATGGACTCCGTGGAAGGGAGCGCAGCACAAGACAAAAGCAGAGAGGAGAGGCGCGGTTTCCCATTGCCTAGCTCTGTCCTGCGACGGGACGGCCTTCTCAGAGCTGCCAAACTGAAATGCTCCATGGTCACACAAATACTTCAGAAGGCCTCCATGGGCCCATCCCTGGATGAGTTAGAAGGCTGCCGGCTGCAAAGAGTCTTTCAGGCTGATATTCAACCTAAACCCTGCCCATCAACACCAGGAAGTCTCACCCGGGGCAGGTTATGGCACAGCAGAGAGGGCTGGAGAGATAGCTGAGTCAGCAGGGTGCTCCCTATGAGTTCAGAACCCAGGGACTTACACAGAAAGCCAGGCAGGGTGGTGGTATATGCCTGTCATCCCACTGCCGAGAAGGTGGAGGCAGAGGGTCCCTGGGCTTGCTGGCTGGCCAGGCTAGTGAAGTCTGTGAGCGCCAGCCTTAGTGTCTTCATCACTAAGATGGAGAGTAAGAGGGGAAGCCCTGCACACATGCACACACACACAAGAACACAATAGATACACATCACACTTACACACATACACACAAAAGAGGTTAATGTCTAAAATTTAAAAGAACTCTGTTAGACAATAATTCACAGATGGAGCCGTGAGAAAGGGGGGATCGTTTATACGACTGCCAACCTGCAAGGAGGAAAACTGAGAAGTCGGAGACGGGCTCGGCTCTGACCCGCCAGCCATGTTCTTGCTCCTCACCTCTTCCCTGCTAACGTCCATGTTCCACACTGCGATTCCACCATCCGAGGAGCAGGAGACAAGCTGCCTCGCGAGCTGCAGGTAGCACAGTGACTGCACCCTGTCGCTGCAAACGGAGCACAAGTCACACGTCAACACAGAAAAGCCTGGGAATGCCCCACTGGAACTCAGTCCTCTCCCCACTCTATTATGGGGCTATTTTAGCACTCACTACCCAGGTCATACTCTCCACAACATAAGTGCTGTTCCTTCTGAACCTGTCATTGAAACTGCAAGTCAGAGAGGGGTAAGAACTGCAGTTTTCCGTGGCCACCACCATAATTTCTCTTTCACACCGTTTACTTGTGAAAACAAAACGAATATAACTCTTACTAGAAAGCAGTTCATATGCAAAAGTAGAGAGACCACGAGGGCTATGAACAGTCACCTCTCACGCAGCCACAGGGGACTCACGTGCACACACGGGGAGAACTCTGCCCTCTTCCCAAAGGCTCTCGGACCTGGATGTCATGCAATCTCCTGACCTGGTAACTTTTGCACCTTTTTCCTGGCTAAGTTTCAACTTGATTGTAATTGCAGTGAACAATTACGGCCTAAGCAGCACCAAGGAAGAAAGGAAACCACAGTGAAGAAGCAAAGAAAGGAATCCTTTTTCACAGGCTGGACGAGCAGCCCTGAGTATTACAACATCAGAGCTTAAGGGACTTAGCTACTGATGCACCTGTTACTCTTTAATGAGACATATTTTAGGGTTTAATAGACCACTTATGTCCCCGGCTCAGGAGTAGTCCCGTACTTTAACACAATCTGCCATGGTCAAAGTTCTTGCCTCCATGGTGCTTTAAGTAGGTATTTCAATAGGGCCACTGCTTGGGAGAAGAGTGGTGACCTCTTTAGACTACCGAGGAAGGACACCTCACACTCCATTTTGCTTTGACTCAGGACTGCTGGAAGCAATGAAAATGAAGGCAGGAGATAAGAGCAGTGCCCTCCTTTCCTGACTCAGACCCCCAACCCCTAATGGTCACGTACTGGTGGCCCTGAAGGAGAAGTGTTCGGCCTTTCCGTCCCCCGATGTCCCACATGATGATGCTGTTGTCAGATGCTCCTGAGAAGAGTAACCGCTGAATGGGGTCCCACCAAAGGCAGGCGATACTACCTAGGCATGTGAGAGAGGGGTGAGACAGAACTCAGCATCAGGACACATGTGCGATGGGAAAGCCCAACAGCCAGCCGGGCCTTTGAGCAAGACATCTACCTCTGTCGTAAAAGGGTTACTCAAACCACATCCTCACGAGTCACGGAGAAAACACTGCAAGTCCATCATCCACAGCTGGAAGATGAGGATGTGACCATGTGCACAGCTCTGAATACAAAGGGTTTAAAGTTTTCCCTTGCAGGCAGCTCAGCAGGTTGGAGTCTCGTTTAACCATCCGTACATATCCTTGGTGAGTGAGAAAGTGCTCTGTGCACCCGGGAACTTCCGGGACTTCCTAAGACTTGTGAGTTGCTTACTTCCTGCATCTTAATGAGCCTTCCTTCTATGCTCTACCTGTCAAGACCCGTGCCAAGGTGGACTTTCAGTGATGCGGCTGTCTTTGAGTTACCCCTGCTCCTGTAAGGTAAGCCCTTCATCCATATTCCTGGGAAGAACCCCAATAAACTCACTGGTACACCAAAAAAAAAAAAAAAAAAGGTTTTTGTTTTGTTTGTTGCCACCAATAACTTACAAAGCAGCTAGATGTAAACATCAGTTCAGAAAACTTCTGGAGAGAAAAAAAAGTCAAGAAAAATACCTGTAGTTTACTATGGGTATTTTATTACAATATAAATCTAGGTTATTCCAGACCCATGAGACTTTATAGAAATTTACCCTAGGATGCTTTTATCTCTAAAAATTAAATTAATGCCTCAAGAAGAAAACAATGCTACAGGTGTACAAAATAAATATACCAAAGTAGTTCAGCTTAAAAAAAAAATCCAAACTTTTACATTTCACACTCTAGCTAGCTTATCAAATTGGATGCCCCTGGAAACTCTTTGTTTCTAGAGATTTCTCTTGCAGGGGTGTCTTCCACCACTACTACTGACCTGGGAAACACCTACTAACAAAAAGTAATGCTGAACCTGTGACACACACAAACAGTTCTCCTGGAGGGACACAGAAATCTGTGACACACACAAACAGTTCTCCTGGAGGGACACAGAAACCCGTGACACACACAAACAGTTCTCCTGGAGGGACACAGAAACCCGTGACACACACAAACAGTTCTCCTGGAGGGACACAGAAATCTGTGACACACACTGACAATTCTCCTGGAGGGACACAGAAACCTGTGGCACACACAAACAGTTCTCCTGGAGGGACACAGAAACCTGTG